ATGGATAATTCCATTGATCCTTTGTCATCTTGAAGAACCCTAGAGCAGGGCTTTTCAACTTTTTCACCCATTGTACCATTTTTAGGATATGGCAACATCTGAGTACCACCAGTTGCCTAGCAAGGTGTCAAAAACTTGACCAAAAAAAAAAATGAAAAAAGTGATAAAGTACAGGTAGTCCTTGACTTACAACAGTTCGCTTAGTGACTCTTAGAAGTTACAATGGCACTGAAAAAGTGCCCCCCAAGCCACAGCCGAGCAAGACATCTGCCTGCCCACCCATGGCGCTCTTCCTCCTGTCCAAGGTTTTCATTGTTGTGAGCATTTCTGTTGAGGATTGGCCGCGGGGGTGGGGTGGGGTGTTTGGTTTTTATTCCCCCCATCTGCTAGGTGGTTGCAGCAGGTTTTGGTCACTTCACATGACCCTGGGACCGTCATAAATATGAATCAGTTGCCAAGCATTTGAATGTAAATCACAGGACCTTGGAGATGCTGCAACATTCCAGCTGATCAGCGCTTCTTCTGGACTCAGCAGAAGTGTCAGGATCAGCGCTGAGCTCCAGCTGGAGCCTGGCACTGGTCCTGGTGCTTCCACTAAGCCCTGACAGCCCCGAAGCGCCGATCAGCTGGAAAGCGGCACTGATCCTGGCGCTTCCGCTGAGCCCTGACAGCCCTGCAGCTCTAGCCATCTCTCACTCCGGCTTGTGCGGTGCTGCCACCGGTTCAGCTCATTCCCCTCACCCGCTACCACTTTTCTAGGATGGTCACGTACCACCTGCCATGTGCCAATGTACCACAGGTGGTACCCGTACCACTGGTTGAAAAGCCCTTCCTTAGATGGCTATGACGGAAAGGAACATCTTATTTGAAATAACAAAGGACTACTTAATTGAACAAACCTGGAGCAAATTGCTTCAAGCCTACCAGAACTACTGACCTCTATGAACATATTTTCCCCAACCCTTGCCCCATTTACAGGAACTGAAAAAGGTGCATGTTTTCTCATGAACTAGCCAGCACCATCATCTATCTGGCCTTAAGAAGAGATCTAAGGTGGAAGTGCACGAAAACAGTTATGATGTAGCAAATAGGGCTACAGATTTACTGTAATGAAATTTTAGCAGAAATTTGGATTGCCCCATTTTAGGATTTAAAGTTATAACTTGTAGCGATCAGAAAGAGATTGGAAAAGGCCATAAGACTACAAGAACCTGGAAAGGGACATATTGAAAGAATGCGGACTAAAAGAATATTGCCTAATTATGACCAGTATTTAGATTCAGCACCTGCCAGCTACTTTGGGGGGGGGGGATACTGCCTTCAACTCAGTATTTACTGACTGCAATTAGTCCCTGCAATTTCCTTGATAACATTTTTGGAAGTGGTTTACCATTGCTTCTTTTCTGGGACTGAGAATGTGACTGGCCTAAAATCACCTAGCTCAGGGTTAGGCAACCTTGGCTCTTTTATCACTCGTGGACTTCAACTCCCAGAATTCCTGAGCCAGCATTGCTGGCTCGGGAATTCTGGGAGTTGAAGTCCACGAGTCATAAAAGAGCCAAGGTTGCCTACCTCTGACCTAGCTGGCTTCAGCCTAAGGTGGGACTAGAATTTATGTTATTATTTTATTTCTTGCCTTTATTATTTTTACAAATACCTCAAGGTAGAGAACATATCCTGCATACCTTCCTTCTTCTATTTTCCCACAACAACAACAACCTGTGAGGTGACTTGGGCTGAGAGAGAGTGACTGGCTCAAGATCACACAACTGGCTTTCATGGCTAAGGTGGGACTAGAATTCACAGCCTTCCAATTTCTAGCCTGGTGCCTTAACCATTACACTACTTAACCACTAATGCCATCAGTCACAGTATTCACATTGAGCAGGCAAGCAGGTCATCAGAAAGTATTCAGAAGAGGGGGCAAAGGCAAAGTAGGACCCAAAGCCATAAGTTGCCCATGGGCTTTCCTACTCCTACTCCTGGCATATGGCTTCTGACTTCGAATGGCTTCAACTATGATCTTTATAATACATTTTCAAACCTGAGCTACGAATATTCTCCTTTATCAATCTTTGTAATAATTAAACAGTGAACTATAAAAACTGAAGAAGCTTCTTAGATGAGAAGTGAAATATCTTCAAGGAAAAACAAAGAAAGTCCAGTTGCCTCTTGAAAAACGGATCTTGGGGACAATTGAACAGTGAATATACATAATATACATATTTCTGTTTCCAAAACTGTAACGGGAAAGAGCTGCTGGAATGGAGGCAGGCAGGGGGAACAGATCCCAGCCTTTGCCCAGAGTGTGACTCCACTGGACAGTGCCTTGCCCAGGCTTTGACTCCATTGGAGGGAAAGCCCCACAAAGAGGGTCAGGGTTGAGGGCAACGGCCTGGGACTGAGTTAGGTAGGAGTGAGGGGGACACCTCACTTTGCAACAGGGCTCCTTCTCTACTGAGCCAGTGGCTTCATTACTCCCAGCTGCTCTGCACGTAAGAGCCACCACCGCATGCCCAGCTCCAACATCCATGGCAACCTCAACCAGCACTGTGCAACCATCCCTTGAGCCTAAGTAGCCAAAGGGAAATAGAAAAAAAAACAAAACCTTGCAGCTTTGCAGGAACTTTTTTTAATTGAATAGATGTATGTGATCCTCTTCGTTTTCTTCCCTTTTGACTGACAAGATACTTTTTTTATCAGTGCTTTGGGATTGCTGCTTCCTTGTGTTATGCTCAAATACATCCAGGGAACGTGAAGGAAACGGAGAATCCATCTCTTCTCTGGGTGTTGAGCTTCGAGCTATTACTTTTAGGAACTGGCAGCCTTCCCCTCCTCAGTTTGCATTAACCTTCTTTTTGTAGAGTCATCTTAGCTTCTGCAGTTATCCTCCCTTCTTTTTGTCTTTTGAATAGAGCAGGGGTGTCAAACTCGTGACGTCATGTGACGTCGCGCAACGTATCGGGCCGGTTTTGCCATTGCCGGCAATGGGGTGGGCGCAGCTTCAGTATGATGAAACCGGCCCGCAGGACGGCAGTTTGACACCCCTGGAATAGAGTGAATCTCATTTTTAAAAATACATTGCATTTATTTTGAGCACCTTTTCCTATTAGCCTTTTCCCTGCCATGACATCCCTTCATTGGTCAACAGTATTAAAATCAATCTTTTTAAAGTCCAAGATACATCTTGACTAAACTCAGCTTTTGTTTTCCTTAACATTAAGAATTCTTGCAATTATGTGATTATCCTTCCCTGAATTTCTTGCTACGTTTACTTCCTCAACAAAGCTTTTCTTATTACTTAGGATCAGGCCAAGGTCTGATCCTTTGCCTCCCTCTGCCTCCAAAGGAGAATATGGTCAGTAACACAAATTTCCTATTTTGGCATATGTTAATTATCTCTCAATAAATGTCCAGGTATTTAAATTTCCCATCTACTTTATGCATGCTTCCTCTCTTTTCAGTGTGAAACAAAAACACATGTACATAGAAACACAGTTTCTAACAAACCTTTATTAGAATCTTTTCAGGAGATGATATTGTAGCCCTTCCCAGCAAAGCACAGACAAGGAAGCAAGAATTACACAGACTTCTATAAAGTGTGTTTAATGTTAGGATTGGAGGTAAATTGGAGAAACTTGGAAATGGCAGCAAATTTCCTGTCTTCTTGAATTAGTGGCTGATTAAGACAGTGTCTCTTTGAACCATCTGAATTTCTTCCTCCTAAGCTTTTTGCAGCCTGAGCTGAGCTTCTGTTTATTACCAAATTCTTCCTTATCTCTTGATGCTTTAGGTCCAATGTTCCTTCCATGACTTTCCCACTTCCCATAATCTCTCATAACAATCATGTTAGTAATTAAAAATAAAACCAGCTCCTATAGTAAGAGTTATTCATTTAAATTCCTCTGACATATATTTATCACTTGTTCTTCATTTCACCGATAAATCTATAACGCTTAAAAGAAAAGGGGAAAAAATGCTTTTTCAATATTGGTTTTTTAGTCAGAGAATTTGACCCTTTTGTTATAGTCTATCCAGTTTCCACAACCGTAATAGTTGCAATGAAGTGTGCTCTGGATTTAGCCTGAATTTTGTTCAGTGTGTTTCTGCTCACTTCTTGCCTATGGAGGAGCAGGATTCGCATTCTTCTACTTTCTCCTCTTCCATTTCCTCTGTTTTCAATTTATAGAGTATACTCCCTTTTGTGTTTATAAAATAAGCACTGATTTCTTGTTTTTTAAACTGAGGGACTTAGCAATAAGTTAACAACAGTCAGACCAGGTCTTTTATTTTATCCCCAAAGCCCACTGCAGTCAATTTATGACCTAGTATTTACCTCCAATCCATTTATCAATTCCTAAACTTATTTTCCCTTAGGATAAATGTTTCATTCCAGGCTTATTATCATATGACTTGCTTCCAATATAACTTTCTCTTCTTGTAAGGCATAATTTTTAGCAAGGAGTAATTCCTTTCTGAGATAGAAAAAAAAAGAAGGTACAGGCAGCCCATAAGATTTTTATATCAGCCCTAAATTAATCTGGGCTATTTTCAAAGAGGATTTCTTAGTTTTTTATTTGCAACTAGCTGTACATGGCCACGCGTTGCTGTGGCTCAGTCTGGTTAAATGGAAAAGAAAGAAAAGAGAAAGCACACGTTTGTAATATGTTTAATTTCACAATGCTAGCGTGTGTTGCTTTTACGTCCAACAGATGGTGCTGTTTTTCAAAAAAAGGATGTTTTTACCTGTCACAGGTGTGACATCTATATAATAGTAGGTATATAAAAACACGCGCGTATTCGAATGCAACGTTGTGTCAAAATTTCAAAGCAATCGGTGAAGAACTTTCGGAGATTTAAGATTTTTAACAAACGAACATTTACATTTTTATTTATATAGATTGTTTAATATTTTCTTCTTTTGGGTAAGTGGATCACACTTGTGTTTTTATGGCATCTGAAAAAGAAACTCTCAGGTTTTTGGCCTTTGTAATCAATAAGATACTATATTAAGGATTTGTTAGAATGCTTATTTACTTATCTGTTTTTATTTTGATGACAGGGAAGGATAATGGCAACTAACCTTTTTTTTTAGTACCCAATTTACCACTGGAGACTACATCCAGCATGTCATTTTTATGCATGGCTGATAAGAAATTAGCAAGCCGCCACGAATAGAGTTGATTACACTGGTCAGCCATGTGTAGCAAAAAAGCAAAATCATTCTGTCCATCTGGGATATCAAAGACCCGACTGTCTTCATGCGCTTGCTTAAAAGAATATTTCTGCAGTGGTTGCCACAAAAGCCATAGGAGTGAATAAACCCCCACGACTCCGTACAGGAATACTAAAAAAATATAAGTAGCTATCAATTTCTGTAGAATGAAAGCCATGCTATGGGTACAGATGAATGTAGAATAGCCAATGAGGTTTTGTATGTCTGCCAGGCAAACATGCTTGAAGGAGATGGATCCTATACAGTTGAAGGTATAACCTAGCACAGTTAGAACCTTTGCAATTTTGAGAAAGGTTTGTCCCAAATAGATTCTATAAATCATCCTGCCACCTTCAGTGTGTGCTCTGAATCTACGGATCTTCTCAAAAAGGGCCTGGCCAAGTTCCCGATCCTTTGCATCCAGGATTGGAGAAGGAGGAGACTTGAGTTGTCCTAGATACCTCATATTCACAGTATTTGTGCGCGCACCTAGGACGTGCTGGCAACCTATTTCAGAGAGAGCCTTGGTGGTCCAAGGTGACTCAAAACATTTCGTGAGAATGGACAAGAAGTGTTCAATCTTTGATGAAGTCTTAGGATATCGGAACCAGAAGTTGTTGCTTGCCATTAAGAACAGTGAATTGACAAGTGCAAAGTAAGGGAAATACTTCGAGAACCAGGGCAGAACTTTCTGATAACAGACATAGCTGATGTATCGATACTGTTGGTAGTCCAGATTGATGGAGCGATGACTGTTTGCCACAGGAAGCTCTTCACTGATGGTTTGATCCATAGCTTGAGTCTTGGGTACAACTGCTGAAGTTTCATTTAGCTTATGATTCAGAGGAAGACAAGTCATGTTATCAACAGAGATTAGTAGAGTTCCTGAGAGAACAGAAATCATCAGCATTGCTAGTACCAAATAGTCCATTAGGACATCCCACCAAGGCTTCAAAGACTGGAACTGGGCAAGGCTGTCATTGAAGAAAGTGACTTCTGACAAGGTAAACATCACTAGAAAAAACAGGAATAATTAATAGGAATTGAGTAATTCGTTTGACTGTTGCACTAAAACAAGCGAAAATTTTAGAGCTTTAAGTTAAGTCGTCTTAACTTCAATTTGAGAGCTCGGAAGACAAAGATCTTATAACAGAAACAAAAAGTATAAAATACTGTTATCTGCTCTGAGGAAAAACTATATGTGGTTTATTTGCTGAAAAATGGTTGAACAAATAATGTTTAGTAGAAATGCAAATTAGGCTACAAAAAAAATTGAACAGAAATACATTGTCCCATCTGCTGTAGAGAGAAGTATAGGTAATCCTTCACTTATGACCACAACTGGGACCAGAATTTTGGTCATAAGTCAGGACAGTTGTAAATTGAGGCACCCACATGTTCGGACTTAATTTTACGGCAGTCATTAAGCGAACCGTGTGATCATAACTCTGAACCACAAATCATTGAACAAATCATAGGGTCATAAGTGCGAACCCATTCTCCTAAATGAACGGTGGTTTTTTTTGCTGGAAACTGGCAAAAAACATTGGAAACCGGCAAAAAAAATTGCAAATCACAGTCACAGGGCCGCAGGACATTGCAACCAGTCATAAATGTGAACTGGTTGCCAAGCACCCGAAATGCTGCCGTTACCGTGTGGGAGGGGGAGCGGCATGAGATTATGCAACAACCAGAAGTACTTTATGGGCTGTAAAGCATGCTGAGGCCACTGTAACTCTGAATGGCTGCTAAATGGCCAACTGTAAATCGAGGACTACCTGTAGTATAATATTCAACCTATATTATCAAAGAAGCAAAAGATCAAATATCTTTCAAATGCTTGTCTTTTACTGAATGTAAAGTATTAATAAATAAACAAATACAATAAAAATATTATTGCAGGTCTAAAAGGTATCTGTTCCTGAGCTGATGACCCTTGTTTGCCTTTTTTTTTAAAGTAAGCCTTGGGGGGGGAGAAACAAACAGCTTATAGTATTAACTCATGTGGGATGTTTCTTATAGTTTGGGTCATTTTATTATTGTATGTTTTCTAAACAGCCTTAAGACTAATGGTAGCTGCTAGTCTATTAACTATTAGACAAAGCATGTAATTCATTAGCTGAGTTGGTCTTTGTCTTACAGTGTTATATAGCCTGATTGATGTGATTTGTAAACCATAGTTTACAGCTCGGTGTGCCATGTGGCAATACAATACCTCCCACCTTACCGCTTGCCCACATTACCCACCACTGACCACAAGCCCCACGGACCTGCCTTCCCTCTCTTATTCTTTCCCTTCCTCAGTCCAGCATCAGCTCCTCACCTGCAGGAAGCCAATCCTTTCTGCAGGCAATCTGTTCTTCTATCCAGGTGGGTACCCGTTCCCAAATCTTCTCTCCTTTATCTGTGATTGCCTGCGATTTCTCAGAGGCAGCCCCTCAGCACAAGAGGCTTTTTGTCATCACCATAGCAGCTGAATGCAGGAGCAAAGGACTGGAAGGAGGGAGAACAAAGCTACAGTGACCTAGCCAGGAGGACTCATTAGGCTTTCAGCATGATTGCCCTCTCTTGAAATGCAAAGAGCAAAGCATGAAGGAGGAGGAACAGAAAAACTTGCAAAAATCACTAAACATATTAATCACAGAACTATTAAGAGATTTTTTTAAAAAAATATATATGCATTCTTCCAACAATATTAACTAAGACCAGCTGATGACTATGCACAGTTTAATACTGGTATCCCACTATTAAAATTACAGAGGCAAAACTCCCACACCAGGAGGCAGAAAAAAGTGGGATATCTGACAGCATCTTCCATCCAAACTTTTAAACTTCAGTCCCTCACCATGCCGAAGAAAACTTGTTTTTAACAATGCAGATTAAAGTTGAACACAGCAGATAAGGACACTTGCCAAAGGGAAAATAAATGGACTAAAGTTGAGTACAGGTAGTCTTACATACGACCACGATTGAGCCCAAAATTTATGTTGTTAAGTGAGAAATTTGTTAAGTGAGTTTTGCCCCATTTTATGACTTTTTTTTACCACATTTGTTAAGCGAATGACTGCAGTTGTTAAATTAGCAGCACGGTTGTTAAATGAACCTGGTTTCCCCATTGACTTTGCTTGTCAGAAGGTTGCAAAAGAGGATCACATGACTCCGGGACATTGAAACCATCATAAATGTGAGGCAGTTGTCAAGCATCTGAATGTAAATCAAGTGACCATGAGGATGCTGCAACGGTCATAAGTGTGAAAAATGGTCATAAGTCACTTTTTTCAGTGCTGTTGTAACTTCGAATTGGTCACTAAATGAACAGTTGTAAGTAGAGGACTACCTGTATGGCAGTGAAAGAGATAAGAGTATGATAGGTGTGTGTATGGGGAGACTCTATGGTGTCCCCTTCCCTGGATGCCTTAAGCACCAGAAACGTAAGGAAGCATAGGAGACGGCTTTTTCATAATTTGATTCTCATGAGAATCTTAGGCAGAAAGATACTGGAATTGTGCTTAGCTTTTGAAGGAAGCATCCCCAAAATGTTCTTGGTTGTAACTAATGCTTTTTCCTCTGTATTTTTCGTTCACTTCTCCTGTTAACCTGTCAGGAAAAACTAGATGGCTGTCCATAAAGAAAGGGCAGTACCCGCAACCATCTTGATCTGCTTGCACATTCTCCACTCTGAGTTGTGCAGCACAGAAGGCTGTTTATAAAGGACTTGCCTCCTTGCCAGTTTTAAAGTGATGCGTGGTTAGAGCCCTGCGCTTTTATTTTGAAATTTTTCCAACTAATTAGGAAAAGCAATCATTCAAAAATTAATTGGGATAATAGAAATCATTAGAAGGAATAAAGATTTGGGGAACCATTTCATCACCTTGTCTCTTAATGGATGTTTTATGGCTGGTTCTGGCTGGTTTTGCAAATAGGCAACATCTTCCCAAGGAAGTCATTTTATGATTAAACCTATAACATGCTCTTAAAAAACCATGAGCAACAACAGCTCAAATATTTTACTCCCAGGCTTGTAGCTAGGGGTGAGTGTATAGGGACTAGCTCCCAATTTTTTTTGCTGACCTTAATTTCACTTTGTCCTCAAAAGTTGAGATAAATGTATTTTACATTTTTTAGGCTTTCTGCAGGCCTACCGCATACGCCTGTTCTAAATAATTTTACACTAGGACTCAGTAAGTTTGGCTTCAAAGGCAAAAAAAAAAAAAGTTGGGAGGGGAGGGAAGCACAAAAAGTTACACATACAGGTAGTCTTTATTTATAAACGTCCTTGTTTAGCAATTATGCAATTCCTCCAAAACAGATGTGTCCATTCCTAACATTGCGTGGCTGTGATGATACTTGTAGTATAATCCCAGGAAAACAGGTTGGGTTTCAGTTAGGGTTGTCCTGATAGGACTCCTGATGTCCACTAGATGGCAGCAAAGAGCCTCTCCTCTCTCAATTAGGCTCAATTGAAAATGAGTGACTAGAGAGAATCTCCATCTAGGATACCATTAATCACAAATCCATCTTATTCTTCCACCAGCATTCAAATGAACAGCATGCTTAAATGCAGTGTAATGAATTTATTTGAGATATTTTAGACTCCATTTTAATAGCTTTAAGAGGAGGGAAATTTTGTTCATGTAAATATGCACATTTCACTTCTTTCATAATAGAGTAAAACAGCCTAAAAGCTTCAGCAGGCCTCCTGTTCATTCTGCTGAATGAGCCTTCAACTTCTGTTCCAAAGTTCTGCCCCGATATGCTGATTGACAGCATCTTAAAAGATAAAGATTTCTTACAATAAAGCTCAATTTCTGATGACTTCTGGGACTTATATATGGAACTTTATGCAGCAATACGGAAATGGCATGCTATTCACTTCTTGGATTTTTTTTCAACTTTTCTAGCCCTCACCCCTGAGGGTTCACATCACCACATCTGTCTATTCTTTCAGACCTGCAGCCATATTAAGTGAAAACCTCATTTTGTGATTTGCTTAGCATACATTTAATTAAGGTTGCAGTTTTACTCTGTACAATGCAATCACTTCAACCACACAGTTCTATGCACCTGGCACATACCAATAGATGAGGTTGCTTGTCCTTAGAAAACTATAAAAAAATTTCAAAGAAGGTTGACTTCTCATACAAAGGCAGTCTGTTTCTTGACTGGGTTTTCAAGATATAATATTCTGCATTTCTTTCCTAAAGATATCTCACAACAAATTGGTAACATGCAGAATCGAACTTCATCTGTGCATAATTTCCAGTGAGGTCTAACTAATTAGTTATCTGCCTTACCTTTTAAAAAAATCATGGCTAAGATATTCCGAACCATCACATTTAATCTTAGATAAAGGAGGAAAATTAGTCCCCCCCCCCCCGGCATTCCTTAATTAACAACCACTAGGTGGCAACAAGATGTAACAGAAAACTCAATTAGTAATGATGAAACATTAGAGACCATTTAGGAGGAGAAAAACTGCATTAAGAGGCTCTGATAGAAGATAAAAGCATATTTAGTCCTTTTATGGTGTTTCCAGTTTATAATGAGATCTGATTCTTGAATTCTTTCTTATGTATGGTAAGTAAAAATGCTTTTGAATCAAGTTTGGCTCCTGGTGATTTTCATCATCTGCTCTATGCAACGTTCCTACTGTGATAAGAAAGTGTTTTGCCACTGCTATTTGGGGACGTCTCTGTTTCCATTTGGAGGTGATAGAGAGGATCTAGTTGCCTGTGCAATAGTGGTGCATTCTACTTTTCCCCTGAAAGCCAAAGTGATGTCACAGTTACAGTTTTGTGGTTCCACCCAGCCTCCTTCACCAGTTTATGGATGGCCCAATTATGATTTCCATATTTATTTATTTATTTATTTATTATTTGAATTTATATCCCGCCCTTCTCCTTGCGGACTCAGGGCGGCTGACAATCAATTAAAAACACCACTAACAATCACAAGTTAAAATTAATTAAAATGAAATATTTAAATTGTCTAATTAAAAAGTAATTAAAAACC